GAAGAAATGTTGGTAATAATGAAAAGCCCTTCCCTGGTTGTTTGGGAAGAATGGTGAACCTCTTCGATCTGAGTACCGGTGTTTCTAGGAACAAACTTCTTACTGATGCACCACATCGTGAAGGTAACCTCTGGATAATACCACATTTTTTTGAACTTATCTTAGTTTACTTAGTTAAAATGTCATTATTATTTGATTCTTCCTGGAATTTAGTGGGTTATTTTCTTAGAGTAAGTCAAGTCTAATTTCCAATGAATCTCTCATCTCGTCTATCTCCCTTTCCCCCTCAATTTTCAAGTGTCTCAAGATGAGGTCAAAGTCCACCATGATTCAAGCACAACGTAGAATAGAGAAGAAGTCTTTTTATTTATTTTTTATTTTTTATTTTTTTATAGTTTGGATTTGATGGGGGAACAAAAAATTGATGAGTTCCTAGGTGAGTTTGACTTATTATCAGTTGAAACAATCGGCAACCTTGATTCACATGGTTGGGCTATTAGTCTTACTGTCTGTTTGGAGCCGTAAGTATCAGTAGCCTGTAGAGAGAAAGAAGAGAGATGGTGTATGAAGGGAGGAGGAAGTGAAAAGGTTTTGGCTTTCTTTAATTGAAACCATAATTATAAAATAAAAATATTAACCACCTGGCTCATCTTTTCACTTAGGACCTGTGGACTAATCTTATTCTTTCTATTAATAGATTCATCCTAAACTAATTTTTTCTTCAGAGGACATTGACCATTTTGTGGAAATTCTTGTTTACTTTTTCTTGATTATTCATTTCTTTGTTTCAATTGAACTGCTTTTTAATGAACTTTATGCTTCTGTGTGGGACCCACATGTATACATGCTTCCTCTGGTGCTTATATTTCCGTTGTGCTCATTCTTTTTGTTATCTTTCTTTTGATTGTAAATGGGATGACAGAGATGTGGCTACTTGGCAGGTTCTACTCTCTCAAGAAATCAGGCGGATGTGGGAAGGATGTTTAATCAATTCACCAATCAAACTGAAGATAATCTGGTAAATGTTGTGCTCCACTAATCCTTATAAAAATTTAATTGTCCAATCTATTCATAAAGAGCTGGAGGTCGATGTCGATTTTTTCTGGTTTAGTTATGCTATTCTAACTCATTGTCTTGATATTTTGCATTTGTGTGGATTGATCAGACAGTGCCTGAATTGCTTAAAGCATCGAATAAGAGAGCAAATGAAACATCTGTGAAGATGCTCATTGATCAAGAGATGTCTGAAATGGTGTCTACAAAAAATCCACCCAATGTAGTTGCAAAGCTTATGGGCCTTGAAACTCTCCCTCATCAGCTTCCTGATTCATCTGTTCAAAGAAACAGTATAAGAAGTTATCCAAAGAGTAAAGCTGCGAACTATGGAATGTCATTAGGATGTAGGGAACAAAGTGGCTTCTTGGAAGAGGGAATGAAATGTGAAGTCAATGAATGTTCAACTCAGAAAGAATATAAAGATGTTTATGAAATATGGCAGCAATCTCCACAGACAAATTATATCAGAGAAAGAGAGACAAAGAAGGGAGTGGAAAGTGAAATTGTGACAGATAGAAAGATGGCTCTTGTTCGCCAGAAGTTTGTGGAAGCAAAACGTCTGGCCACCAGTGAGAAACTGCGCCAATCCAAAGAATTTCAAGATGCACTAGAAGTTTTAAGTTCCAATAAGGATTTATTTGTCAAGTTTCTGCAGGAGCCAAACTCATTGTTCACTCAGCATCTGAAAGAGCTCCAGTCCATCCCTCCATCTCCTGAGACAAAGCGAATCACTGTTCTTAGACCTTCAAAGGTTTTTAGGGATGAAAGATTCAGTGATTTCGAGAAAAAAAACTATAGACAGTTAAGGCTACCAGCTCAGAGGACATCAGCTCTTTTAGACAAAAGTGATCCAAGATTTTCCCCTACTCCAACTATTAATAGGACTAATGAATATGCTGTAGCTGCTCAACCAACAAGAATAGTGGTTTTGAAGCCTAGTCCTGGGAGGAATCATGATGTTAAGGCCATGGTCTCATCACCTGGCTCATTGCCTAGAGTGGTGCAAGAGGAAAGTTTTCATGAGGGATTTGAAGATGATGATGTGAAGGAATCAAGAAAATTTGCAAGGAATATTACTCAGAAAATGTGTGACAATCTTTCGGGTCATCGAAGGGATGAAACTTTGCTTTCTTCTGTGTTTTCTAATGGCTATACTGGTGATGAAAGTTCGTTTGAAAAATCAGAGAATGACTATGCAGTAGAAACTCTGAGTGATTTGGAAGTCATGTCTTTCTCTTCGCACCATTCTTGGGAATATGTTAATAGATATAGTAGCCCATTTTCGTCATCCTCCTTCAGCCGAATATCATGCTCTCCAGAGTCATCAGTGTGCAGAGAAGCCAAGAAGCGACTGTCAGAAAGATGGGCCATGATGACGTCACGTGGGAACTATCAAGAGCAAAGGCACGTACGGAGACACTCAAATACATTGGGCGAGATGCTTGCACTGTCAGATGCAAAGAAATCAATAATAACTGATAATGAAGTTAATGGACACAAAACAGGTGAGTTAGAGCCCTATTTTAATAGTGATGAAAATATTGAATGTCTGGATGGTTCTCCTACAACACTTGTAAGGTCGAAATCTGTCCCAGGATCTTCTGCGTTGATTGGCGGGCTTAATCTTGAAGCATCAGATCTTGTGATCGGAAAAACTGATGATCCGAAGTTGCTAGCAAAGCCAAAGGGTGTCAAGTCATCATTTAACGAGAAAGTCTCAAGTTTATTTTTCTCGAGGAATAAAAAAATGAGTAAAGAAAAACGTGGTGGGTCTCAAACAAAAGATGAATCCCAATCTTCCAGTGTCGACACACCCTCATCCCTATCTTTCGTTCATCATTCGAGAGGTTTGAGTAATGCTGCATCTCATTCTAATGATGGTGAAGGGTGCTCATCAGGCACTTCTCTACATTCAGCCAATAAGGTTGCAAGAGGAGGTGCAGTTCATCATGAGGTATATCTTTCCTTCTATGGTTGTAATAGTTGCATGCTAATCTATTTGATGCTATCGCTGCACCTATCCATTATGCATTAAACATAATCATATAAATGTAGGGTTTTTCTCTTTTAATGTGTATTCTTCCTTATAATTGCGATTAGATATGTAACTATTTGTTTGTATGGAATTTTAAGAATTAGCTGGATAAAAAAAATATTGTAACAAGTTCTTTCGCCGAGTGTTAATCTTCAAACCTCATTCACATATCATAGGCGAGCATTTCTTACATTTTGGCTTAAGTCGTGTGGAAATTAGTTTTCTGCAAGGAAAATAGGATTGTGTTGGAAGCTGCTTTGCTGAGAACAACAGATTGCAATGATTGATGATATTTTTTCCTATTAAATTTTGTATGCTTTTACATACATGGGGAGTTGGAGTTGACATTAGGTGCTCGACAGAATAAATTGAATGCAATTGTCTCGTGTCTTCTTCAGTAGTTCCATGAATGTTTTTCTTTTTCAAATAAATTGAACCATTTGATTGTGATTAGTTATTGACAGTGTCATTTGTTATGATTTGCAGGCGGGTTTGTCTATGAAAAGACCTTTCACGATTGGAAACGCCGTTGAAAATCAAGAGCAGCCGAGTCCAATATCCGTTCTGGAACCACCATTTTCTGAAGATGATTATACACATCTAGAGTTGTCCAGCTATATAAAGCCAGGAAATCATGGTAACTATACCCGTCCACCTATGCACAAATTAAAAAAAAAAAAAAAAACAAGAAACAAGGAAAATGCACACACATGGTGAATGCATAGGCTGTACAGATTGTTTTGACTTATCTATATCGAACTGCATCTCATTTAAACCTTTAACTGGAACAGAGTTCTGTACGCCATTCAAGAATAGTCTCATTGACAAATCGCCACCCATAGAATCAGTTGCTCGGAGTATATTCTGGGGTGATTCTTATTCAGATTCGTTTGCTTCCTATGCACTCAAATCTTCACCAGTTTCCACTTGTTTGGAGGAAGAACAAAACTGGCATTGCCTCGTGGAAGCCCTTCTTACAATGTCTGATCTCAGTAGTGAAGTACAACAATGTGGCTTTTTGTTTACAAGATGGCATTCACTTGTAAATCCACTAGATCCATCTCTAAGAGACAAATATGCAAATCTAAGCAACAAAGAGCCAATGCTCGAGGCCAAGCGAAGGCAGGTACGATCAAATAGGAAGCTTGTATTTGACTGTGTGAATGCTGCCTTGATTGATATAACAAGTCAGGAACTCGACCACAGACGAAGTGCGGAAACATCTAGCAGAGCCCATGACAGCAGTTTCACTGAGGGCACACCACTAACATTATTGGACTGTGTTATGGGTAAACTGAAGGACTGGGTTTGTGGTGAATCTAGATGTGTTACCGGAGAAATTGGTGACAGCAACAGCCTGGTAGTGGAAAGAGTAGTCAGAAAAGAGGTTGGGGGAAAATTTTGGGATGATCATCTTACGATGGAAATGGATAATTTGGGGAAGGAAGTAGAAAGGAGATTGCTGGAAGAGCTTTTGGAAGAGGCTGTAGTTCAATTGACAGGTAAGTGTGATTAAAATTTGCTATTCTGTTTTGTTTTAGATTAATTCATTATCTCCCACCTTCGTCTCTGACATTCAATAAATGATGGTCCTGTGATTTAATTTGTGTATGTCCAGATAAGTCTGCCTACTTACCTCTGATATTCATTTTGTGAAAAATATATGGCGTATAAATAGAAGTGAAATCTCTCTATTTTGATTTCTTAGCTTTTGTTTTTGATTCATGCAAAGTTCTTAAAAGTATTAGACTAGATTAGAAAAAAAGAACGAAAATATTGTTACGATTGCTTTGACAATTAAATGCAGTAAGGTTAAGCAGTTATTTTGTAAGATTAGTCGAAAAATAGATTCAAATTGTGATGATTTTACAAGTAAGAACTAAATGTAGAATGTATAAGAGCTCACACATTTGGTTAAACATCATATCAAATTTAGAAGAGTAGAATGGAAAAATAGAACTTATTCAAATTCCTCAACTTGATGATATACACACCAGAACCTTCCGTTCTTTCACAAAGCTGATTGCAATCTATCCTATCAGACCAACCCAAATCAAAGCACACAATATAGCAGAACAGAAACTTACACACACCAATGACTGGTTTGAGTTTCTCTGACCTGCTCGAGGAAGACTTTCTGTTTCGATTGCTTCTGTTTTTTTTTTTTTTTTTTTTTTTA